TTTGTTATTGGTTGCCTCTCTCCCTAGAATGTGGGTCCATGAAAACGACGGTTTTTGTCTTATCACCAGTGCCTATACATAGTGGAATCCAGAATATTGTTGAATAAATAATAAGTCATGGCCCGTGGCATAGTCTCTGCCCTCTGTCACACTTTACTGGTAGTGGGCGAATACAAACTTTAAGTCATTCTAATGTGAATGATTCAAAAGCAAGACAAAGGTATACCATAAAACCATGAAGAGAGAATCTAAAACTAATCTGAAGAAATGATGAGAAAGACTTTTTCCTGAAAAATATGTCAAGCTAAAGATTGTATGAGTTGAATAGGCTCAGCAAGTGGGCAGGAAACGTTCGGTGTCTAGAGAGTGCAAATAGCTATAAGCAGAAGGAGAAAATGGAAAGGAAGGAAGGTTTAAAGGAAGCTCCAGTGTGGGTAGCACAGGAGAATGGTAAAGAGAACTGAGGGAGTAATACAAGCCACTCCAACTTGCGTTGCTTAGTGACTTAGTTGATTATTCAGTAACGTGCAGTTTATATCCTTGTAAGTTGTGTAAGTAAGATCAAAATAGTATGTATTTAACTTAAATAGCTTTATAGACTATATCATCATTATTCTTGTTGCCTCCTATGAATGCATAGCTAAGTATGGAGGAACCCTTTCTGAAAAGGGTTAAATACAGGAATAAATACCAGATAGGGACTTCCAGGCCATATGGAGGACTGAGCTGACATGTTAGGCTAAGTTCTCGCTGTAGAAACACAAAGGAGTGCTGAGGGGAAATAGCAACCAAGTTAACCCAAGTCAAAAAAGATAGGAAATCCACAGGTATATTTGGAAGAAATTCAAAACCAAGCAAATTTATACAGCAGGAACCAACAGTAGTTTTAGAGAACCCAGTCATAAACCCTAGAGGATTTGGATCTAGGGACAGGAGCCTTAGCTTCTGGCTAACTCAGCCACAGAAGTTGAATTGGCGCCCCTGCATAAACCCACAGCCTCAAGTCTGCTCTATAGAAAGAGGACTAGAGGACCAGAGAAATATAACCCGCTGTTCCTAGGAAAGTGGCAAGGAAGTTTGCTTCACTCTGGAGCTTGTCATGCTATCTGTAACCTATTTTCAAGATGGTTCAAAAGACAAAGACCTTGTCTGTCTCATGGAGAGTGGAAGGGTAGAAAACAAAGGATAGGCCAGGTACAGTGGCTCACACCTGTAATCCAGCACTTTAAGAGGCTGAGGTGGGAGGATTGCTTGAGGTCAAGAGCTCAAGACCAGCCTGGGTAACAGAGACTCTGTCTCTACAGAATTTTTTTTTTTAATTGGTTGGTGTTGGTAACACATGCCTATAGTCCCAACTACTCAAGAGGCTGAGGCAGGAAGACTGCTTGAACCCAGAAGTTAGAGGTTACGTGAGCCAGATTACACCACTGCACTCTAGCCTGGGTTACAAAGCGAGACCTGTCTCTTAAAAACACACACACACAAAAGGCCAGGTGTGGTGGCTCATTCCTGTATTCTAGCATTCTGGGAGGCCAAGGTGGGCGCGATCGTTTGAGCTCAGAGTTCGAGTCCAGCCTGAGCAAGAGCTCAGTCTTGCTCTACCCCATCTCTACTAAAAAAATAGAAAGAAATTAGCTGGACAACTCAAAGTGTATATATAAAATTAGCCAGACATGGTGCACATGCCTGTAGTCCCAGCAACTCGGTAGGCTGAGGCAGTAGGATTGCTTGAGCCCAGGAGTTTGAGATTGCTGTGAGCTAGGTTGATGCCACAGTACTCTAGCCCAGGACAACAGGAGTGAACTCTGTCTCAAAAAAAAAAAAAGAGGGCTAGAGGTAAGATCATCCAGGGTTGGTTAATTCAATCCTGATGACATCATCAAGTATTCCAATTTTCTCTTCTACTCTGTCATGCACAGTATGTTAATTCCTCTTAGGCTGACTGCCTTTATCACACCAAGAAGCCTGCCAGTGTTCTAATATTCACAGGCAGTGGGCAGTGTTCAGACACTGAGAGGAATGATTCTTTTCCTGTACTTCTTTTTAGAGGGAGTAATACCTTTCTGGAAGGTTTCCTATAGACTTCCCTCATGCTTGTTTGACCAAAATTGTATTCATGTGTCCATGCCTAAACCAGTCAGGCGGGCAAGAAGAATGAGACCAGAGTGATTAGTTTAGAGTTATCGTCATATTCCCCCAGGCAATAGAGGAAGTCCGAGTTTCCTGAGAAGGGTATTGCTCCAAAGAGGATGAACAAAATGCAGAGTTCCTTTGACAGAAGAGCAGTTATTGGTAGGAGCTGTTGTCTTGTCTAAAAGAGAGGAAACCAAGGTTTAGAAAGGTTAAATAATATGCCTGAGGTCATGGGCTATTACAGTGGCAAATGAGGCTTAAACTAGGTCTCTCTAACTCTGCAGCCCAAACTGTAAACCATTAGGGTACAGTTTGTACAATACATTTCATTTGTAATTCTGAAAATGTTGAGAAGAACTCTGAGACCACATCTATGTCCATCAGGAAGACAGTGAAGTTTACTGTGGACACAAGAGGAGAGGTGGGACACAGTCCACTTGCCATGGACTTATCATTTCTAGACTGTGCACTTGAGAAGGCAAAGAAGAGGTCCTCATTGTTCATTAATGAGCTGGCAATATGTTGTTTGTGTTTTGTTTATTTTCAATGAATAATAAGTTCTAGCTAAATTCAGGTGATTTAGGATTATTTCTTAACCTATAGCTCTGCTCTTGGTTTAAAGGTAATGTCTTATTTTAAAAAAACAGATAGTGAAGATGAGGACATTGTTGGACCAATGCCTGCAAAAGGACCAGTTACTACAGTGTAACAACAGAGTTTGAAAAAGGGCCAGAGAATGAAAGAAAAACTGACTAAAGGAGATAATGTAAGTTTAAGCCATTTTACTCTAAGAAATAAACTAGATTAGAAATCCAAATTTAGAAATAACACAAAATAATATATCTTTTGTATATTCTTTCATATATAACATATATATAAAGAAACTTAGGAGCTAATAATCGAAACTATAAAGGAAAAGATTGGCAAATTTGTGTACTAAAAATGTTCTATATGGCAAAGATAACAAAGTCAAAAGAGTAACAAATTGGATGAAAGTATTTGGAATGTATACAACAAATATATGACTACAATAAATATATGTGACTAAATACCAATTTTTTTCTATTAGAGTCTGTTAAGTAACTTTAAAACCTCAATTGGAAACAACATTCAGTTGTACAATATTGTATATATACTTCCATGCTATATATTTTTAAACTTTTTACTTCTCTTAAAGGATTCATCTAAACCAATTGTAAGAGAGTCATGGATGACAGAGCTTCTCCAGAATGAAAGACTTTGGTCTTGGGCCAGAACTTTAGAGAGAGACTGATGACAAATCTGGAGATCGCTCAATCTGGACAGACACTCCAGCTGACAGGGAAAGGAAAGCTAAGGTGAGAGGTATTGTTTGTTTGCTGGTTTTATATTTCTGCCCATGTTGGCTCGATTTAGAAAAGATACAAGGCAAATTATTTTAGTACTATTTTTCAAAATTAAGATTCCAAAGGGAAAATACAATTTTTCCTGAAGGAGAGTTATGAGGAAGGAAAGTGACACTAATTGCTTGCTGTTGAGTTACATATTTCCCAATAAACTTTCTCATTTAAACCTCAAGAAAGACCTAGACATAGGTTATTGACCTTATTTTACAGAGAGAGGAACTAACTTCTAGGAGGTCAACTTTTCTAGGTCACAAAGCTAGTAAGTGATGACAAGAATTTTTTTCTTGTTTTTCACCCTCGAGTGATTTTATATTTTTGAAACAAATAATGTAAAATTTCTTTTTACATTTCATCCTAATTAGTCAAGCTCATCCTGATTCAATAAATGGGTAATTTCTTCCAGTGGGTTGTGAGTAAGGTTTTCTTTTTTCTTTTTCTTGTTTTCAGGAAAATCATGGCCTAAAATACTAACATCCTTTATCAAGTGCATTAATATTTCTGACTGGAAGGGATTCAACAAGCCTGACTTAGTTTAGTCTCTTGTTACTTAATCTAAGTAAAATACTGGTGTTTCTTTTTTATTTTATCTTAATTATATGGTTCAGTAATGTATTATGTGTGTTCATTCCTCAGGAACACAAGAAGCACGGAAGTCATTCAATAAGAAGGATGAAGAACATATATTGTCAGGAAGAGATAAGAGATTGGCTGAGCAGATATCCTCATATAATGTAAGTAAGAAAATAAAATATATAGGCTTTTATTTTTCTGTCTTTTGTTCTCATTCATTCTTCTCTTCCTATTTCTCTTTCTCTTAAGTGTTGCCTCTTTACCTCAGACTTTTCCTTATACTCTGTCCTGCTGAACACCTTTCAGGGACCAGTGGGTTCAGTAATTTACATTTATTCTCTGAGCTGGAACATTTACCAGTTTTTCCTTCTTTCTTTTTTTTTTTTTTTTTAAGAGAGAATATAACAAAAAATGATATGCCAAATGAATACTGACCTGTTTAGTTTATTTAGTTAAAATATGTTTAAAAAACATTTTTCTCCCATATTTAAATCTTTACATCAAACATTCCAGATCTGCTTATAATTTAAAAACTTTTTATTTCCCCTTGGACCACACCCAAGAAGCCTTGAGCAAGTGGACTCATAATTTAAAAACTTATAAACTGATGATCTCTATGATGGCAGAACTCTTGCTTTCTCATCAAGTGCTGCCTATCTTTAGTAATTAAGCTTCTGATAATACAACAAGTAAAATACAAATTGAAAACATTACATGAAGGAATTTATGTAAATATATATATATACACACACATGGAATAGAGCTGAGTATTTTTCAGGACAGATGTATAAGGAAAAGTCTGAGGTAAAGAGGCAGACACTTAAGAGAAAGAGAAATAAGGAAGAGAAGAAATGAATGAGAACGAAAAGACAGAAAAAAATAAAAGCCTATATATTTTATTTTCTTACTTACATTATATGAGGATATCTGCTCAGCCAATCTCTTATCTCTTCCTGACAATATATGTTCTTCATCCTTCTTATTGAATGACTTCCGTGCTTCTTGTGTTTCCTGAGGAATGAACACACATAATACATTACTGAACCATATAATTAAGATAAAATAAAAAAGAAACACCAGTATTTTTACTTAGATTAAGTAACAAGAGACTAAACTAAGTCAGGCTTGTTGAATCCCTTCCAGTCAGAAATATTAATGCACTTGATAAAGGATGTTAGTATTTTAGGCCATGATTTTCCTGAAAACAAGAAAAAGAAAAAAGAAAACCTTACTCAATCAACCAACTGGAAGAAATTACCCATTTATTGAATTCAGGATGAGCTTGACTAATTAGGATGAAATGTAAAAAGAAATTTTACATTATTTGTTTTCAAAAATAGTAAAATCACTCGAGGGTGAAAAAACAAGAAAAAAAATTCTTTGTCATCACTTACTAGCTTTGTGACCCTAGAAAAGTTGACCTCCTAGAAGTTAGTTCCTCTCTCTGTAAAATAAGGTCAATAAACCTATGTCTGATGTCTTTCTTGAGGTTTAAATGAGAAAGTTTATTGGGAAATAGTAACTCAACAGCAAGCAATTAGTGTCACTTTCCTTCCTCATAACTCTCCTTCAGGAAAAATTTGTATTTTCCCTTTGGAATCTTAATTTTGAAAAATAGTACCTATAAATAATTTTGCCTTGTATCTTTTCTAAATCGAGCCAACATGGGCAGAAATATAAGAACCAGCAAACAAACAATACCTCTCACCTTAGCTTTCCTTTCCCTGTCAGCTGGAGTGTCTGTCCAGATTGAGCGATCTCCAGATTTGTCATCAGCTCTTCTCTTAAAAGTTCTTGGCCCAAGACCAAAGTCTTTCATTTCTGGAGGAAGCTCTGTCATCCATGACTCTCTTACAATTGGTTTAGATGAATCCTTTAAGAGAAGTAAAAAGTTTAAAAAATATATAGCATGGAAAGTATATATACAATATTGTACAACTGAATGTTGTTTCTCAATTGAGGTTTTAAAGTTACTTAACAGACTCTAATAGAAAAAAATTGGTATTTAGTCACATATATTTATTGTAGTCACATATATTTGTTGTATACATTCCAAATACTTTCATCCAATTTGTTACTCTTTTGACTTTGTTATCTTTTGCCATATAGAACATTTTTAGTACACAAATTTGCCAATCTTTTCCTTTATAGTTTCTGGATTATCTAGCTCCTAAGTTTTCTTTATATATATGTTATATATGAAAAGAATATATCAAAAGATATATATATTTTGTGTTTATTTCTAAAATTTGGATTTCTAATCTAGTTTATTTCTTAGAGTAAAATGGCTTTAAAACTTACATTATCTCCTTTAGTCAGTTTTTCTTTCATTCTCTGGGCCCTTTTTTCAAACTCTGTTGTTACACTGTAGTTAACTGGTCCTTTTGCAGGCATTGGTCCAACAATGTCCTCATCTTCACTATCTGTTTCCTTTTAAAATAAGACATTACCTTTAAACCAAGAGCAGAGCTATAGGTTATAGAAAATAATCCTAAATCACCTGAATTTAGCTAGAACTTATTATTCATTGAAAATAAAACAAAAACACAAACAACATATTGCCAGCTCATTAATGAACAATGAGGACCTCTTCTTTGCCTTCCTCAAGTGCACAGTATAGAAATGATAAGTCCATGGCAAGTGGACTGTGTCCCACCTCTCCTCTTGTGTCCACAGTAAACTTCACTGTCTTCCTGATGGACATAGATGTGGTCTCAGAGTTCTTCTCAACATTTTCAGAATTACAATAGAAATGTATTGTACAAACTGTACCCTAATGGTTTACAGTTTGGGCTGCAGAGTTAGAGAGACCTAGTTTAAGGCCTCATTTGCCACTGTAATAGCCCCATGACCTCAGGCATATTATTTAACCTTTCTAAACCTTGGTTTTCCTCTCTTTTAGACAAGACAACAGCTCCTACCAATAACTGCTCTTCTGTCAAGAAAACTCTGCATTTTGTTCATCCTCTTTGGAGCAATACCCTTCTCAGGAAACTCGGACTTCCTCTATTGCCTGGGGGAATATGACGATAACTCTAAACTAATCACTCTGGTCTCATTCTTCTTGCCCGCCTGACTGGTTTAGGCATGGACACATGATACAATTTTGGTCAAACAAGCATGAGGGGAAGTCTATAGGAAACCTTCCAGAAAGGTATTACTCCCTCTAAAAAGAAGTACAGGAAAAGAACCATTCCCCTCAGTGTCTCAACACTGCCCACTGCCTGTGAATATTAGAACACTGGCAGGCTTCTTGGTGTGATAAAGGCAGCCAGCCTAAGAGGAATTAACATACTGTGCATGACAGAGTAGAAAGAGAAAATTGGAATACTTGATGATGTCATCAGGCTATTGAATTAACCAACCCTGGAATGATCTTACCTCTAGACCTCTTTTTTTTTTTTTTTTTTTGAGACAGAGTCTCACTCTGTTGTCTGGGGCTAGAGTACTGTGGCATCAACCTAGCTCACAGCAATCTCAAACTCCTGGGCTCAAGCAATCCTACTGCCTCAGCCTACCGAGTTGCTGGGACTACAGGCATGTGCCACCATGTCTGGCTAATTTTTTATATATACACTTTGAGTTGTCCAGCTAATTTCTTTCTATTTTTTTAGTAGAGATGGGGTAGAGCAAGAGCTGAGCTCTTGCTCAGGCTGGACTCGAACTCCTGAGCTCAAACGATCCGCCCACCTTGGCCTCCCAGAATGCTAGGAATACAGGAATGAGCCACCACACCTGGCCTTTTGTATGTGTGTGTGTGTTTTTAAGAGACAGGTCTCGCTTTGTAACCCAGGCTAGAGTGCAGTGGTGTAATCATGGCTCACTGTAACCTCTAACTTCTGGGTTCAAGCAGTCTTCCTGCCTCAGCCTCTTGAGTAGTTGGGACTATAGGCATGTGTTACCACAACCAACCAATTAAAAAAAAAAAATTCTGTAGAGACAGAGTCTCTGTTACCCAGGCTGGTCTTGAGCTCTTGACCTCAAGCAATCCTCCCACCTCAGCCTCTTAAAGTGCTGGGATTACAGGTGTGAGCCACTGTACCTGGCCTATCCTTTTGTTTTCTACCTTCCCACTCCCTCCATGAGACAGACAGGTTCTTTCTTTCTGAACCATTTGAAAATAGGTTACAGATAGCATGACAAGGCTCCAGAGTGAAGCAAACTTCCTTGCCACTTTCCTAGGAACAGCGGGTTATATTTCTCTGGTCCTCTAGTCCTCTTTCTATAGAGCAGAACTTTGAGGCTGTGGGTTTATGCAGGGGGCTCAATTCAACTTCCTGTGGCTGAGTTAGCCAGAAGCTAAGGCTCCTGTCCCTAGATCCAAATCCTCTAGGGTTTATGACTGGGTTCTCTAAAACTACTGTGGTCCTCTGCTGTATAAACTTGTGCTCTGGCTTTAAATTTCTTCAATGATATCATACCTGTGGATTTCCCTATCTTCTTTTTGAGCTTGGGTCTAACTTGGTTGCTATTTCCCCCTCAGCACTCCTTTGTGTTTCTACAGCGAGAACTTAGCCTAACATGTCAGCTCAGTCCTCCATGTGGCTGGAAGTCCCTCTTCTGGTAATTTATTCCTGTATTTAACACCCTTTTCAGAAAGGGTTCCTCATACTTAGCCTATGGCATTCATAGGAGGCAACAAGAATAATGATGATAATAGTACTACGAAAGCTATTTTAAGTTAAATACATACTATTTTGATTTAATCCTTACAACAACCTTACAAGGTAAGTATAACAACCTGCACGTTACTGATAATGAAACTAAGCTCACTAAGAACGCAAAGTTTGGAGTGGCTCCTGTCTATCTCCCTCACCTTCTCTCTCACCATTCTCCTTGCTAACCACACTGGACTTCTTTAACCCTTTCTTCCTTTCCACATTCTCTCTTGCTCTTAAATAAGCTATTTGCACTCTCTAGAACAACGTTTCCTGCCCACTTTGCTGAGCTATTTCCAACTCATCAATCTTTAGCTTAGACATATTTTTCAGGAAAAAAGTCCTTTTCTCATTTCTTCAGATTAGTTTAGATTCCTCTGTCATGGTTTTATGTATACTTTGTCTTGCCTTTTGAATCATTCACATTAGGAATGACTTAAAGTTTGTATTCCCCACTACCTAGTAAGTGTGACGAGGGCAGAGACTGTGCCATGACTTTATTTATTCAACAAATATTTCTGGATGTCCACTATGTATTAGGCACTGGTGATAAGACAAAAACCTCTGTTTTCATGGACCCACATTCTAGTGGAGAGAGGCCAACAATAAACAAAAAGCAGTAAAATCAATGGTATCTTTGGTGGTTATAACACTATGGAAAATTTAAAAGAAGGAAGAGGATAAAAGTAAAGGGTTAGCAAATTTAAATTTGGAGGCCAGAGATGACCACATTGGGAAGATGACAGCTCTGCAAAAAACTGAAGCTCTTGGAGGTCAGGTGCATTATATCTAGGGGAAGACCGTTTGGGATAGACTTGGACGGCACGATAAATGCTCAGGGGTAGAAGCCAGCCTGGGATGTTTGAGGAGGAACAGTAAGGAGCCCAGTGTGATCACATCAAAGCAAAAGATAATATTGGAGTGCTAACAGGGGCCAGATTGTACAGGGTCCTGAAAGGACTCTGGCTTTTACTCAGAAAGAGGAGGAGCAGTTCAATGGCTTTGAGTGTTAGTGACATGATCTGACTTCATTTCACCTGGACCCCTCTAGCAGCTATTGAGAAGAGGTAGGTAGAGGAATAAGGGCTAAATAAAACATGAAGATCAGTAAGAGAGGTGAAATATGATGATCACTTAGACCAGGGTGGGAGCAAAAGTGGTTGGATTCTGCATGTCTTCTGAAGGTATGAATGACAGAATTTGTCAACAGATTCATTTCTGTGACTATATGCCTGACACAATGCAGGTGTTCATGATCTTAACCACTGCATTATTCTTCCTTTCAGTGACAACAGCAGTCTAAGTGTTGAATTCTTAGTGGAAATGAATAGGAGTCTCTTGATTATATGAATTCATATGTAGGAAGGTACCACAGTAGACTAGACTGAACAAGTGATTTAAAGTCATAAGAACTGAATCTGAGTCCTGGCTTTGATAAATAAAATCTGCGTAATCTTGGGTAAGTTACCCTATTTCTTTGGTCTTTAGCATCTGTGCAATGCAGACACTATCTATTTCACAAGGCTATGGGGGAAATGAATTACAAATTATAAAGTATTTTACAAATACCAACTATTGTTAAGGAGAAAAATAGCTTTCATACTTCAAAATCATTGGATCTATCTTTTCATAAATTCACTTATGCACCAGTGCATTTGTTATTACAGCTACCGGAGCTGGACAGAAGAGACTTAATTTCAAAGTAAATTTTTTAATTAAAAAGCTTGTGAGTTTTCTCTCCTCCAGGCAAAATCATAACAATTCCTTAAACTCTTTCAACATGTTCTATTTCTCTAACACTTTAAAGCTGCCCTTCAAAGATAAGAAGCATGAACAAATAACACCCTGTCAACCTTGTTATTTTTCTAACAAGACCTCAGGTTTATGAACAGCTTTTGATTTCATCTACTTAAATTACAATCTTAAATCAATCTCAATATAATTGAGTCTTGCATTTAAGTCAAATGCTTATAGTAACTACATTTATAAAGCTTGGAGTTTGTTGCATCTTATTCTTTAAATGAAAACTTAGAGTTGAAATATGATACCTGTTGTCCTGGATCATCTCTGCCCTTGTCACTTTTCTGTGTAGATTTAAGGAAACCAGGTGGCAATGCAGGGCCTATTATAGGCCTGAAAAAGAAAATGTTAACTTTATCATTCTCTCTGACTTTAAAAAGCAATTTTCAGAACAAAAGTTCACAAAAATAATAAAGCCAGATAGTAACAAATATTAAAAATAAGAATTTTATCTAACACATTATTTTTACTAGTATTACCTAGTATTTTTCTCTAGGAGTCTTTAAAAAACCTAATTTTTACATTTTAACTTTTTACTTGTTAGTCAATAATTAGATACTAAGCCAATAATTCTCAATCTTTGTGACACTAGCATATACCCACTTCTTAAATAAAACTACATTAAATAAATATGATCATGTTTATAAAAAAGTCCTTTTGATGTACTAAAACCTGTACAATTCTTTTTCTATTTTGTGCACTGGCTTCTCTTCAGTTTTGATATACACTGTCCACTGAAAAATACTTTGGGGGTATTGTAATTACAGTTGGAATTACTAAAGTAGAAATTAAGGTCTTCCAAGGACATATTATAGCATGTGCATACAACATCAGCAATCTATGGTACATGTATCACGGAAGCATAAAAGTCTATATTTTGTCCTCACCAATAATTCAATCATGATGTGGATGTGCAGAAGAATGCAGCTAGTTCTTTGAGACCCATAGAAAGAGGAAAAGGTGCTATTCTAACCACATTTCAACCAGTGCAACCTTCTGTTTCTTTAAAACAACCCTGGTTGGTATAAGTTACTCCACCTTCTAGGCGAGCAAAATAAAATAATGCCCAAGGTTGGCCGGGCGCGGTGGCTCACGCCTATAATCCTAGTGCTCTGGGAGGCCGAGGCAGAAGGATTGCTTGAGCTCACGAGTTCGAGACCAGCCTGAGCAAGAACAAGACCGTCTGTACTATAAATAGAAAAGAAATTGGCCAAACAACTAAAAATAGAAAAAAATTAGCTGGGCATGGTGGCGCATGCTTGTAGTCCCAGCTACCCGGGAGGCTGAGGCAGCAGGATTGCTTGAGCCCAGGAGTTTGAGGTTGCTGTGAGCTAGGTTGATGCCACGGCACTCTAGCCTGGGCAACAGAGTGAGACTCTGTCTCAAAATAAATAAATAAATAAATAATGCCCAAGGTTAACACAACTAGTAAGTGGCCAAGCTGGAGTTTGGACCCTCGTCTACTTGATGTCAAAGTTCATTTTCTTTCGAGCTATCCTATTGCCACATTATGAGACAACTGTCATCAGTTCCAAAGAGAGAATTGTCTCCTTACTGGGTCTTAAAAAGAGACAGCCTTACTTTATGGAGAGAAAAAATAAAAACATATTTTCCACTCTCTTTCATACTTTTAAGTTTCTTCATCCTTGCTTTTGCACCAGTGTTTTTTCCATAGCTGTCACTGTGCCAGTGTTGCCAACCCAGATGGCACTGAAGTCCTAAGCTGAATTTTCCAGGTTGCACCGTGTTCTATTAGAGCTCACAGACAGGCCTCCTGGCAGGGAAGAACAGGACTGACAGTCAGAAAGTCTGGGTTCTGATCCAGACCATTTAGCAACCTCTTGTCTTGTTTCATAAAACCTTTTTGAACAGAACAATTTTTCCTCTGAAGGATGGGGAAGTATGGCTTTGTTAGATCAAAGTTTGGCTTTGTTAATTATGATTTATAAGCTATAAGCAAGTGCAGCATAGGTTTTTTCTGAATATAGTTTTTAGCAGATCTACAAATACAATTATAGCTCAATTATCTGGCCTCCAGGGATTTGCAGGGGTCCTCAAACTTTTTAAACAGGGGGCTAGTTCACTGTCCCTCAGACCGTTGGAGAGTGTGCACTGTGGGCCCACGACGAGTCGGCTGCTAAGCAGGACAGGCAGTGGTGGGAAAAACACCCGGAGGGCCGGATAAATGTGCTAGGCGGCCCGCATATGGCCCATGGGCCATAGTTTGAGGATGCCTGATTTAAGGAGACAAAATTACTGGTACATAACATCTTAAAATATAGTAAAGGAATATAACCATAACATGCTATGGTTGCATAAAAGGTTTCTGACTCCAATACATGATACCAGCTGTTTATCTTGCACTTATATTTTATTATTGCCAAAACACAGAAAGAAAGAAAAACATCAAGAAAGAAATTACCAGGCATTTAAGAAATGTGTTTTCTTGAAAGGAATGTTACATCCCAAGGGTCAGCAAGCTCTCTATAAAGGACCAGATAGTAAATTTTAACCTTTGAGGGCCACATTTGAGCCTCTGTGGCACATTTGTCTTTGCTTTTTTAGCTACTCTTTAATAATGTAAAAATCATTCTTAGCTTGGGGACTATACAAAAACAGGCAGATTGCCTATCTCTGTTATATCTAAAAGGTCCAAAGTTATATGGAAATTGGAAGCTGCCAAATGTGATTATAAACTTTGAACATAAAACAAACAATCTTTTCTGCTTGTTCTTACATATTGGCATATAGTATTAATATTATGAATTATAAACAATTTAGTGTACAATTTTATATTCAGCATTTAAAAATTTTATAATTCTGGGAAGAAGATAAGAATCAATATTTACTATATAGTTAATCGATGCCAGGCACCATAAGTTACACACACGTATGTCTATGTATAATATAAAATCTTAATCATCACAATTCTGTAAGGTATGTGTTGTTATCCTATTTATAGGTAAATAGGATGAGATTCAGAGAAGTTAGTCTAATTGTTTAATTTGGCCAATAGGGATTTATTTCTTCTATTAATAAATAGTTAAGAAAACAACTGAATTAGAAGTCGGAGCATCAGGATTCTAGTCTCAGGTCTACCATACTATGTGTGCAACCTTGCCTTTTCAAAAATTGGTGGAATAATGTTCTACCCAGCCTAACACAAAACACTTCTGTGAGTACCAAATAAGAGATGTGGAAATTTTTTATAAACTACAGAAGTATCATAAACAAGTAAATTATTTTTATTATAAGGGAACAACTACTTTTCCCTATAAATGACCCATTTCAAATGTTGTCATAAATATATAAGTTAAAAAACAATTTCAGGGCCGGGCATGGTGGCTCATGCCTGTAATCCTAGCACTCTGGGAGGCCAAGGCGGGCAGATCGCTCGAGGTCAGGAGTTTGAACCAGCCTGAGCGAGACCCCGCCTCTACTAAAAATAGAAAGAAATCAATTGGCCACCTAAAAATATATATACAAAAAATTAGCTGGGCATGGTGGCGCATGCCTGTAGTCCCAGCTACTCGAGAGGCTGAGGCAGTAGGATTGCTTGAGCCTAGGAGTTTGAGGTTGCTGTGAGCTAGGCTGATGCCAGGGCACTCACTCTAGCCTGGGCACAAAGTGAAACTCTGTCTCAAAAAAAAAAAAAATTTCAGACAACTCTTTAATGAATTAACAGACACTAGTTGAAATATTTAGAAAAGACTGGCCTGAAATAGTACACATTATCACCTTGGAGGAGAATCATCCTGCTTCTTAAATCCTGGAGGAAGGGCTGGTCCAAAAAACCCATCATCGTCATCGTCATCCTGATTTCTTCTCTGCTTTCTGAAAACACAGTAGTATAATTTTATCTATGCGCATACGTCAAATTTTCACAAAGAGAAATTTTAATTTTTAAAGGAAGCATTAATTTTAACTAGTTGTGTAGACACTGAAACAATACATTAATCTTACCAAATAAGAAAAAAATGGACACCACAAAAGTTCTTATCTTTTCTTGGAACTTATTTTTGGCTTAAAATTGTTAGAGATTAGTTACTTCTTCACAGCAGTAATATAGCTTTATGATTTATTTAGGCTCTTTATTTTTTTTTGAGATGAGTCTCGCTTTGTTGCCCAGGCTAGTGAGTGCTGTGGTTGGCCTAGCTCACAGCAACCTCAAACTCCTGGGCTCCAGCAATTCCCCTGCCTCCGCCTCCCGAGTACTGGGACTACAGGCATGCACCACCATGCCGGCTAATTTTTTCTATATATATTAGTTGGCCAATTAATTTCTTTCTATTTATAGTAGAGACAGGGTCTTGCTCTTGCTCAGGCTGGTTTTGAATTCCTGACCTTGAGCAATCCGCCCGCCTCCACTTCCCAGAGTGCTAGGATTATAGTCATGAGCCAGAGGGCCCAGCCTATTTAGGCTCTTTAGTCACTTCAATAATACCTTAAGGAAAAATCTTTTATAAAAGAATTTTATTGAAATTCTGGTTATCACCACAGCTATACACTACTAGAATATATTTTTTGTAAAAAGCTTATGATAAAATGCCATATGAAATGATTTCTTCTTGTGCTGTATAAATGCAAGTATGATATCCCCTCATTAGCTATATGTTCTAGCCACCCTGTACTAGATTTGAAGCTTGATTTATTATTTGATTTAATTAAGTGACTGACCTTGCAGTTGGACCAGGGTCATCTTCTTCAGATTCTTGATTTCCTTCTTCATATAAAGAACTACTGTCCTCATCGCTGTCTGATGAGTCTGAACTACTACTTTTATAATTAGGGGGCAGAGCTGGTCCTGCAACTACAGAAGAGATGTTGTGTACATCATAACTAGCCACAACTATTTCAATGAACCCTCCTGTCTAATATTTTTTACTTTCTTTTTGAAATTCACAATACTGCCAGTCTATCATTTATTATGGACTTTAATCTCATTTGCTCCTGTTTTACGTACAGTGGTTTTTCGTCTTTTCAGCTCCAGGAAGGCAGAAATCATGTCTTATACAATCTCTTTTATGAATGCACAAAAGCTTTGTTAATACCCAAACTTATAACAATAGTATATAATTTCCCTGATAATATGCAATTTTTGCATTTGTTGGTGCACCTGTCAAAACAGCTTCATAACTTTTTTTCCTTATAGACAGCATGTGGGAGACAATATTTATATCACAGACAGAACCAAACAACAAATTTGCTACTCTATGACATATTAAAAATCAAAATGATATATTCTGATTTCTAAAAACCACCACATTAAAAAAATAATCTTTACCAGCATCAATGTATCATATTTCTCAGTTTTCGAGATGATTTTTCAAGCAGAAACAAAATTAGAATCACTCTAAGTTTTCCTGCTCGCTGGTAGAGATACACAGAATAATGCTGCACTGAGATGGGGATGCTGGGGAGAAGATAAGGGTCTTCTGGGCCCATTCATCCAAGCGACTTGCTCTCACTTTACATCTCAGCAGAATTACAATTCCTGCATGATGTCACTGCATGATGTCACATAGACACCACTGTCCATGTTGATCCTGAGTAGTGATGCTAAATGGCTACAGCCATAGTTCCCAAGCTTGGATGTTTACCAGACTCAACAAAATATTTTTCTAAAAAACAATTCCTAGGCCGGGCGTGGTGGCTCACGCCTGTAATCCTAGCTCTCTGGGAGGCCGAGGCGGGTGGATCGTTTGAGCTCAGAAGTTCAAGACCAGCCTGAGCAAGAGCGAGACCCCGTCTCTACTAAAAAAAAAAAAAGTTAATTGGCCAACTGAAAATGGAAAAAAAAAAAAACAAAAAACGATTCCTGAGCCCTTTCCTCAGAGATTCTGATTCAGTAGGCTGGCCTAGAGGAGGGCCTAGAAATATGATTTTCCAAAGAGCATCCCAGGTATGCCATTCATTCAATATTAAATAACAAAAACTCAAATATGATAAAAAAAATAACATGTTTTGAGTTCTTGTTTTAAAAGATTCACATGTATTAACCTTTTAAATTCTAATAACCCTATGAGGAAGGTATTAACACTATTTCTACTTTCCAGATGAGAAAACTTAGGCACAGAAATAACTTGCCTAAGTTAAGGTTAAATAACTTGCCTAAGTTCACACAACTAAACAGTGCAGCTGGAATATGAACCCAGGAGTCTGATTTCAGAGCCTCAGCTGCTATCCTATATTATATCTGATCTCTAATCTCAATGAATAATGTGACCCCATAGAAGACTGGGGGATTACAGTTGACAGTCAACATCTGTCCATCCAACGAGTACTTATTAAGTAAATACTTCTAGAGAAACAAACATAAGAAGAGACAAATAAGATCAATTCAGATAGTCAAAGTGCTGCTATGGAAATAGGAAAAAAGTGACATTGAATATGTGGGAGGTAATTTTAGACAGCAGTAAGGTAAAGTCCTTTCTGAGAAGACATTTGGATAGAGACTTAAATGATAAGATGACAGTGGCCATGGGAAAAACATTCTAGACAGAGGAATAGCCTGTGCAAAAGTCCTACAGAGACAACAAGCTTGGTATGTTTGAGGGACAAAAAGGCCAGTGTGGCTAAAGCAAAGCAAAGTGACTAGATGAAGCTGGATGGTATAAAGGGGTTAGATTCTGTGCTTTGGAGTCAAACTCCTTAGTTTTGAATCCAACACAGCCACTTATTAGCTGTGTGATTTGGATAGGTTACTTAACCTTCCTGTGTTACACTCTTGCTTTATAAAATGAGGTTAATGATACATAGTTTCAGCTTCACAGGGCTGTTGTGAAGATTACATTAGTCAGTTTATACAAAGCACCTAACAGTGTCTAGCATATAGAAGTGCCCAATAAATGCTAGTATAGGCTACAATAAAGAGTTTGGATTTTAATTACAACAGGCAGTCATTGGGAGGTTTTGGGTCAGGAGAGATGTGATCTGAATTACCTTAAAAACAAAAACAAGACTGTCTACTTGTAGACAACAGACAAGGGGATCAGGAATAGAGAATACTCATTAAAAAGCTGATAAGAAATTGTTTGATTTGCAACATAGTTTGAAGGAAGGGCAAAGAGGATTTACTAATGGTTTGGATGTGAGAGATATGGGCAAAAATCTATAGCGTGGTATAGTGAATATGAGGGCTATTGGTACTGACAAACTTCTTAAAAGTCCAGGCAGAAGAATAACGAGATAAAGAATGTTAAGTGTAGATTATTTGGCAACTGTTTTAGAATTAGCTACCTAGGAGGTTCTGAAGTAATGGAATTATAGCAGGTGGGATTTTGTGTTTAAAATTGGCATACTATGTGTAACACACTGTGATTAATGAAGAGGCAAAGTCATTCAACAAATATCTACCAAGGATCTTGTATGTGCCAGGCAGGTTGGGACAATATTCCGACAAGCTAGAGGGGAACACACATAACACACATGTACATTGTTAAGTGTTGGGGGTGGGAGCAGAATGAACACACAAAAGAAACAGAGAGTAGATAAATAAAGGAGTACCTGAAATCAATGTTGGTAATGATGGAAGCAAGTCACAATAGAAGTATCTATCTGGGAGATAATGGTTGATTATCTGATAATCCTGCCTTGGTTTACAATCAGAGAATATGGTAAACCAGAAACACTATATACATGTAAGGAACCCAACTAGATAACTTGATTAACAACACTTTTCTTCAACCTTAGTTAAAGGGAATGTTTCTTGCTAAAACGAAAGCAGAGCTTTTTAAAGGCAATAAAAGAAATGAGATCTGGAAGAAAATCTGTAGTAGAAACATGGCCTTCAGGTAGTCAAAGAAGGAAAATTAGATTCAGAAATGGTAGGGTTACTCTTTCAGCTTTACTATTCTCCAACTATAGTGTCAGTCCCAGTTGATAAATTAGAACAAACATTAAAGGAGATAGATATAAAAGGAGGAATCTGCGAAGCATTTGTTTGGTATATATTACACCAAGTGCCTATTATGCATTAAGGTATAAGACCATAGTGCACTGGTGGAGACAGATATGCTGTCAAATTACTCAAATACAGTGTATTAAATAGGCAATGTAATTAAATAAAAAAAAAACCCGCAGGTAAAAAGAAAGGCTTGACAATGCTTGGGAAAGTTTGTAAAGGTTTCGTTGAGGTGACATTTAAGTTGGGCTTTGAAGGATAAATAGGAGTTTGTCAGTTATGTCTAGAAGTTCAAACAGAGGGAAGTCGGAAGAAGTCTAGAGCACTGAGGAACTGCAGAGACACTCTCACTGGTTTGGTACTGGGCTGTGCAATGGCAGAACGAGAAGCTAGGAAGGCATGTCAGGGGCTGGAGACCACAAGGTGTGCAAGAATCTTCTATGTCACAAGACAAAGGGTTAGGAGACCTGCTTCGTTCTAATTCGGGCTCCACCACTTACAAGCTGTGCGATCTGGGCACCTGCACAGGCCTCAGCGTATCCATTTGTAACAGGGGAATAATAGTTTGTTCCTTAAACAGATGCTGGAAGAATTAAATGACTGAATGTGTATCAATCAATGAGCACAGCGTCCGGCTCATATTAGGTGCTAAATGAGAATGTACCGTCATTGCAATGATTGCCAGTCCAAAGCTCGGTTTCTGAGGAGTTCCCAGCGACCTCCTCCCAACTCCTACGGCTTGGGAAGAAAAGTTAGTTCGGGTGTGGGGTGCGCCCCATTCCCCACTGCTCCGCCCTCCCAGGCCTCAGACCTTTCCGTACAGAGCAGGGAACGGGCCAGAGAAGGGGTGGACGGGCCTGGCGGGCAGAGGACCCGCCGCCGCTTACCTGGGCTGGGGTCCCGCTCCTCGTCCTCTGCTGTCCCGCGGGCCTTGAAGCCAGGCGGCAGCGCCGGTCCAATCAGGTCCCTTGCCATCCGCGGAGGCGGACGCTGGTCACGGATACAAATCTCTCCACGCACGTCAAATTTACTCTGAAACCATCCCGCGATCCGCCGCGAGGGCGGGAAGTTTTTCCGGCGCCGGTCAATGACGCAGCAGCCTGTGGTTGGCTGAGCCGGGTGGTTCGCGGGAGCGGAAGTGACGCCTAAGGCTTGCTCCACAGTCGCATGCTCGCCTCCGGACTTAGTGGATGGCATGGCTCAGCCGGCTAGTGGTTTCGTGAGTCCTACGGGATGGCTTCCGGCTCCCGAGCTGACTCCCACGTTAGGACCCCTGAGCAACACTGCCCAGCTGCCGAATACCTGGATGCTCTGGGGCATGCTGCCGCCACCGCCGCCGTCGTCGACTCCTGGAGCCGGGTCAGAGCCTTCCTCGGAGACACAGCCCCGCAGGGATGCCCAGTCTCTCTCTGGAGCGCCAGCCCCCTTCGACGCCCAGATTCTTTCTGGGGCGCAGCCCACCTTTGACGCCCAGTCCCGCCTTGATTCTCAGCCTCAAGTCAACGGCCAGTCTTCCTGGAATTTCCAGGCTTTGACATCGTGGTACTGGAGACAGTCTCCTAATGTTTTTCCGCAGCATCAGAAGTCCTACAACCTTCCCGGTAGGCTATTTTTCCTTGTCGTAGCACCCTTTACTTCGTTACCCGCGTTCTTCCTTCTCCCATTTCTCCCTTCCCTCTCTTCTCTCTGCCTTGCATTCTTGGAGTCTGGTCATTCGTGTCTCAAAATATGTTCAACTAGAATATTTTTCCCACCTGTTTATTCAGTTTAGCAGTTATTTATTGAATTTAAATTTTGTACCAGGAACTGGGAATATAGCAGTGAACAAAATATACAAAAGTCCTTATCATTATGGAGCTTGATATCTCTGTAGTGTAGGAAGACAGACAATAAACAAAACAAAACATTATGTAATAGAAGGTAATGAGTGCTGTGGAGAGAGTTAAATCAAGAATGATAGGTAATGTAGTTTTAAATGTCACTGTTAGTCATAAGGAAGATGACATTTGAGCAAAGACATCAGAGAGGTAAGGGGTCGGAGCCATGCATACTTGTGGGAGAGTACGGATACAAGGAGAAGGAACTGCAAGTGCAGAGGCCTAGGGGCAGGATCTGTACATCAGAATGGGAGCCATTGTAGCTAGAGAGGACTGAGCCCTGGGTACAGTTGTAGAAGAATGGGGAAGTGGGTAAACCTGGTAAGTCCTTATAGCTAGATCTTGGGACTTTGACTGTTCTGTTGTGAGATGAGTAGTACAGGAGAGTGGCATGACCTGTTTTATGAGGATTAAGAGGATTAATGTGGCTGCCAATGGGAATTGGCAGAAAGGAAGACCAGTTAGGAAACTATTGCATTTGGCCAAGTGAGAAATAGTGGGGACTTGGACCTGGTGGAGCTAAGGGATGGTGAGAAGTAGTTGGATTCTATCATAGATGCAGGTATACCTTAGAGATATTGTGGGTTTGGTTCCAGACCACTCCAATAAAGCAAGTCACAAATTTTTTGGTTTCCCAGTGCATATCAAAGTTTATACTGGAGTCTGTTAAGTGTACAGTAGCATGTCTAAAAAATGTATGTACCTTGACTAAAAAATACTTGATTGCTGCAAAATGCTAACGCTCATCTGAGCCTTCAGCAAATCATAATCTTTTGCTTCCATGTTGATGGCTGCTGATTGATCAGGGTGGTGGTTGCTGAAGGTTGGGGTGGGTATGACAGTTTCTTAGATGGCAAGGAAGTTTGCCTCTATTCCTTTCACAAAAGATTTCTCTGTAGCATGCAATGCTGTTTAATAGCATTTTATCAACAGTAGAACTTCTTTCAAAATTGAAGTCAGTCCTCTCAAACCTTGCCATTGGTTTATCAACTAAATTGTGGAATATTCTAATATCAACTAAATTTATGGAATATTCTAAATTCTTTGTTGTTATTTCAGCATTATAGCAACTTCACCAGTAGTAGATTCTTTCTCAAGAAAATTTTCTTTCCTTATGCATAAGAAGCAACTCCTCAGTCACTAAAGTATTATCATGAGGTACAACAATTCAGTCATATCTTCAGACTCCACTTCTAATTCTCTTGCTATTTCCACCACATCTGCAATTACTTCCTTAACTGAAGTCTTGAACCCTTCAATATCATCCACGAGGGTTGGAATCACCTTCTTCCAAACTCCTGTTAGTGTTGATATTTTGACCTCCTTCTGTGAGTCCTGAATGTTCTTAATGGCATCTGGAAGGGTGAATCCTTTCTAGAAAGTTTTCCATTTACTTTGCCCAGGTCCATCAGATGAACAACTGTCTATGGCAGTTGTGGTCTCATGAAGTATGTTTCTTAAATAATAAGACTTGAAAGTCCAAATTACTCCTTGATCCATGGGCTACAGAATGGATGTTTTGTTAGCAGTCATGAAAACATTAATCTTGTACATCTCATCAGAGCCCTTGGGTGACCAGGTACATTTTCAATGAATGGTGGTATTTTGAAAAGAATCTTTTTTTTTTTTTTTGAGCAGTTCTCAACAGTGGGCTTAAAATACTCAGTAAACCACGTCATCCAAGCTTTGTTGTTCCATTTATAGAGCACAGGTAGAGTAGATTTAGCCTTATTCTTAAGGGCCCTACTAAATGAGCATTGGCTTAAACTTAAAGTCCCCAGAATCACAAGTCCCTGATAATAGGCTAGTGGCCTCTTATAAGAGGGCCTGTCCTTTGAAGCTTTTTTTTTGCACTCTGTTGCCCAGGCTAGAATGCCGTGGCATCAGCCTAGCTCACAGCAACATCAAACTCCTGGGCTCAAGCAATCCTTCTGCCTCAGCGTCCCAGGTGGGACTACAGGCATGTGCCACCATGCCCAGCTGATTTTTTTCTATATATTTTTAGTTGGCCAATTAATTTCTTTCTATTTTTAGTACAGATGGGGTTGGGGTCTCGCTCTTGCTCAGGCTGGTTTCGAACTCCTGACCTTGAGCCATCCACCCGCCTGGCCTCCCGGAGTGCTAGGATTAATGGTGTGAGCCACCATGCCCAGCCTCCTTTGAAGCTTTGAAGCCAGGCATTGACTTCTCTCTTGCTATGAAAGTCCTAGTTTACATTTTCCAACAGAAGGCTGTTTCATCTACATTGAAAATCTGTTGTTTATGTAATCACCTTAATTATCTTAGCTAGATCTTCTGGATAAAATGCAGCAGCTTCTTTGTCAGCACTTGTTGCATCACCCTGTACTTATTATATGTTAGGAGATGGCTTCTTTCCTTAAACCTCATGCTAGCTTTTGTTTATTTATTTATTTTTTTGAGGTGGTATCTCTGTTGCCCAGGCTGGAGTACAGTGGTATGATCGTAGCTCACTGATCAAACTCCTGGGCTCTATTGGTACCCCCACCTCAGCCTCCCTAGGAGCTGGGACTACAGGTGTGGGACTACCACTCCCAGCTAATTTGCTAGCATCTAACTTTTCTTATGCAGCTTCCACACCTCTCTCAGCCTTCACATTATAGAATTAAAGAGAGTTAGGGCCTTGATCGGGAATAGGTTTTGGCTTATCAGCAAAGCCTTTCTTATGATTGTGTATTCAATGGAGTAGTGCTTTTGATTTCCTTCGAGAACTTTTTCTTTTATTCACAACTTGACTAACTTTGGTGCAAGAGACCTACTTTCTGGCCTGTTTCAGCTTTTGACATACCTTCCTCACTAAACTTAATCATTTCTAGCTTTTGGCTTAAGATGAGATATGTATGACTCTTCCTTTTACTAGAACATTTAGAAGCCATGGTAGGGTTATCAGTTGGCCTAATTTCAATATTGTTGTGACTCGGAATAGGGAGGCTAGAAGAGAGGGAGCGATGAGGGAATGACTGGTTGGTGGAGCAGTCAGAAAACAGACACACTTATTGATTAAGTTGAGGTGTGGTTTGTGACATCCCAAAACAATTACAGTGGTAACATCAAAGATCACTGATCACAAATTACCATAGTAGATATAATAATTATGAAAAAGTTTGACATACTGAGAGAATTACCAAAGTGTGCCGCAGTGACATGAAGTGAGCACATGCTCTTGGAAAAATTGTGCTGATAGACATGCTTGATGCAGGGTGGCCACAAACCTTCAATTTGTAAAAAGTGCGATAAAGCAAAACATAATGAAATGTGGTGTACTAGTGAATTTTAAAGGTAGGGCCAACATGATTTGCTGAAAGATAGGCTATGGGATGTGAGATAAAGAGGAGAGAAGGATAATTTAAAGTGTTTTGCCAAACAACTGGAAGGGTGGAATTGCTGTTAACTGAGGTAGGGAAAAATGGATGGAGCAAATTTGGAAGGAAGACCAGGAGTTGAGTTTGGAATATGTTTGTGTCAAGTAGAGATGTTGAATAGGCTTTTAGCTATTAGTCTGTACTTTCAGTGGAGATTTGTGGCTGGAGCTATAAATTTGGATGTCATGAGAATATAGATCATATATACAGCTGTGAGATTATTCATTTAAAACCATTCTCTAAATCTGCATGAGATTCAGTTTACATTAAATTGAATCCAAGCAATCATTTACTTTGTGCCTGATGCTGGGAATATCAGCATCAGCTAAGTCAGGTGAGATAGGTTCATAAACATAAATCACAGTACAATGTGACTGGTGATAGAGGCATATATATAATAGGTAATTACAGAGTGCAGAGCAAATTGGGAAAAGCTTTTGTAAGAAGTGCCTTGGGAGATGTGTAGGATTTGGGAAGAGATTATTTTTTAGGTAGAGGCAAAAAGGTGTCAGTACAGGGCAAGTTCTAGAGATTGCATTGTTCTGGTGTAACTAAAGCAGAGTATATGGAAGGCATGAGGAAGAGTAGGGTAAGAAAATAAACTGAAATCTTGTGGAAGGACTCTAGGAAGCTGTCCTAGTCCATTTTGTTCTTCTATAACAGAATACCACCTACTAAGTAATTTATAATGAACAGGAATTTATTTGACATATGGTTCAGGAGGTTGGGAAGTCCAAGATTGAGGGGCCACTCTGGGGAAGGCCTTCTTACTGGAAGGTATCACATGGTGAGAGAGTAAGAAAAGGAGCCGAACATGTCCTTTTATCAAGAATC